TCTCTCTCCCTCTCTCTCTCTCTCTCTCTCTCTCTCTCTCTCTCTCTCTCTCTGAAAAATCAGCACACCCTCAGGTGAGGATTGTAAAAATAAAAGCAACAGTCAGGACGTCACAGACCTCCGCGTCCGCGTCCTCCGGTCAGGGTCCGGCTCCCTCGGGGGCAAAGGTGACGGGTGCTGCTGGGGGTCCGGCCACCGGCCAGAGGGTAACATGTGCACGAGACCCGAGACCGGCTGCTCCGCAGAGAACAGACGAGAAGCACACGGAGCGGGAGGCCAGGCAGAGCCGACGGGTCAGGCGGGGGGGCGGGGGACCAAGGACACACCGTGGGTCACGGGGCGCAGCCTCGGGGGGCCGGACACGGAGGAAGGGGGTGCGCTGGGGTTGGAGCAGCGGAGGAGGGCTCAGGGGGAGATCCAGCTGTGGAGGCTGCGCGGGAAGACAGGGCCGGCGGAGCGGGAGAGGCCGAACGGGAGAGGCCGGGGGGCTCCCGTCCCTGGTGCCCTCCTGAGGTCGGCTCCTGCCACTGGAGGGCGACAGCACCCAGAGCAGACACCAGGACTCCGGTGATCCGGGTGGAAAGAGGGCGCTGGAGGGTGAAGGGAGGAGGCTCCCCGAGAGGCCGCACCCCTGGGAGGTACAGGAGGGACTGGTGCCACCTGCCCAGCCCAGCCCTCACGGAAAAGCAGGGGCCGGGCAGTGGGAGCAGGGAGGACCGGGCTCCCCACTTGCTACTGGGAGGGACTTGCTCGCCCATGAGCCCATTCAAGCATTCACACACATGCACACTCACACGCATGTACAACTCACACGCACGCACACATACATGTGCTCACACCTCACACATACATGCACACTCTCGCGCGAGCACATGTACATGCTCTCTCACATGCACGCTCGTGCATGTACACGTGCTCATACACACATGCACACCCACACGGGTGCACACACATGCACACACGCATACCACACAACAGCAGGCCGGACAGCCCGCCCTGAGCCCGCCCCTCCTCACTGGCCGGGGCGGCTGGTGGGCGTGGGCTCTCAGCTGCGGGGCCCCTTTGCCCACCGGCCAGTCTTCCTCCATAACTGGTGGCTCTCCCCTGGCTTCCGGGGGGGGGGGCGTCAGTGAGGTTGGTGTGTGGACCCATCCCACCCCCTCAACCTCGGGAGGCGTTTACGGGCCTCCTGTGGGCAGCTGTGTCCTGCTTGTTAGGGGCACCCACCGTGCGGCAGCTTTAACGAGCGACCAGGCCGCGTCCGTGCAGCACATACAGGCCCCGC